CGCCCGAGATGTAGTCTTCGAGCCCCTCCGCCGTGAATAGGAGCTCGCGAAACGCGCGTCGATTCTCAGCGGTGTTCTCGACGCCGACGGTCTTCAGCCGCTTGCCTGCGGTCGGCACCGACTCGTCGGCTGCGAGGATGCCAAAGCCTCGCCGCGAGATGCGCGCCGCCGTGGCGATCAGCTCTGGAATGTGCACGTTGTCAGACTCGAAGGGCGACACCATCGTGAGTTTACCGACTCGCGACGGCGCAAACAGGGCCGAGGCCGCCATGCATGACAGCGCGGCCACCATTCCTCGCAGCTTCGGTCTGCCGACGTTTTTCTTTTTACTCCGCGAGCCGCCCTTTGCTCCCGACCGACTGCACCCAGCGCGGCTGCGCCGCCCGCGCGTCGGTTCCGCTGCGCCTCGCGCAGCTCGTGCGTCAGGCGGCTCATGCCCGCCTGTTATACAACGAACGCCTGCCACAGGCATGCTGCACCTTCTAACAGCAGACTCATCCAGCCCAGCGACGAGGAGGCTACAGATCGCTCCTCCTCCCTGCCTTCCACACGCGAGATGGGCACGCATGACCACGGCACGCAACGACCAACGTTGCGGTCGCAAAAATTCAGATCAATGCGTATTGCATAACGCCAGAGCCCAGCTTTGCTTTGGCCTGTGCTCTTTCACTTTGAGGACGTCTGCCCTGTGTGCGACGACGCGACAATGAATAGTATGTGCCGCCATGAGCCCCCGACCTGTGGGGCTTGCGAATGCGCGCCAAAGGAGTGCGGCCACAGAGTGTGGTGCACCCTAGGGTGCACCTGCGATAACAGCACCCCTCCTTGGCGATCATCCAGAGCAGACAACGTGGCAGTGGGATGCGGGCCCGTGAGCCGCTTGCCACCCTGCCTATGCCATGGGGGAGCTGAAGGAGGAATGGACCCAAGAATGCCAAGCCACCGTGCCGTGCACGAGAGAGCATGTTGGAATGAATAGCTCTGCGCAAATCTAGAGATGGAAGGGTGTAGAGGATGTAGAGTGTAGAGCGCTGTAGAGCTGTAGAGCTGTAGAGCGCTCTGGAGCGCTGTAGAGCTGTAGAGCTCTACATCCGCCGCGTGACGAGGCGCGTGCGTTGTAGAGCGATGTAGAGCGCGATTTTGCTGTAGAGTTTGTTGTAGAGGCTCTACAGCCAAACCGCCGGGAAGGCAGTGACTCAAAGAGGTCGAGTCGCACTAATGGGGTGTCTCCGAGCTTACTGGAGCTCTGATGGACGGCCCTGACTATCACTGACACACAGAGAGTCCCTCTGACGGCACACAACACCCTATAACTGCGTCATGACCAGCCTGCCATGCGTCGCCGGTGCCGCATTCATCGCAGTGCTTCTTTAGCAGGCGGTGGACTGTCGGCTGCGAGGACGGTCGCATTTGCGCGAGGCGAGAGGCGAGCATTCAGACGCGCTGCATGCGCCATGCCTCGCGCCAGCGCGTGCGGGAGCTCCTGGCTGAGCGTTGAGTCCAGGCGAGTTGCGCTGGCCACGATCGCTACGCCGAGCCGAGCTGACGCGCCGAGGCGCCGGCCAGTCGCAGCCGTGAGGCATGCCACAGCAGCAGAGGCACCTGCCACCCATTGGGCGGGCAGACAGAAGGCCAGGGCAGCACTGGCAAGCGCAACGCGCCTCATGTCGGAGAGCGACCGTGCCCTCGTTCGCCATGTAGAGTTTGTTGTAGAGATTTCACGTTGTAGAGCGCCTCTACATCGCTCTACAACGCACGCGCCTCGTCACGCGGCGGATGTAGAGCTCTACTGCTCTACAGCGCTCCAGAGCGCTCTCCAGCTCTACAGCTCTACAGCGCTCTACACTCTACATCCTCTACACCCTCCCTCAGTCAGATGATCGTCTGGCTGGGTCTCCATAGTGCATAGAGCATAGACCATAGTTGCGCGGCCCGATGCTCAAGGGACGGCTGCTGCGCAATTGATCAGTTCTAATGAATGTACCGGGGCCCGCAACGGATGGATGAATCCGGGGCGCCCTCCGCTCGAGACCTCATCGACGCGGGCGGGCTCTCTCGGCTACGGGACCGGCCCCACAGCTTCGGCTGAGGGCTGACAAGCTGCCGAGCCCAAATCACTGTGAGAGTCGTGATTTCTGGTTGGTTTTCAAAAATCCTCTCTCTCGAAACCCTGGCTAGGGGTTCGAGGACGAGGTGGCCCCCACCCCCTGCTTGCTGTGGGGCCGAGCTCGGGCCGCCGCCCATCAAAGGGACAGAAGACGCCCAATCTTGCACGCGTGCAAGAACCATACTCCTTGCAATGAGCGGCGAGAGGGAAAGAAGATTGGTCTTGGCCACAAAACCTAAAAGAAGAAAATCGCCGCGGCCGCTCATCATCTTGGTTGACGTACTAGTGTGCATATGCCGTCCGACTACGACATTGCCGCTGCGCGCGAGGCCGCACGTCGCGCCAAGGCGAACTCGACCTCTGATTGGTGGACGGCTGTTGAGAAGGGCGAGCAGACACGCATGAAGCAGCTGCTCGCAGACGGCCAGGACGTCAACGCACAGGACGCGATGTGCGAGTGGCCGGCGCTGTACTACGCAGCGTGGAAGAACCGGCTGTGGCAGGCCGAGCTTTTGCTCGCCAGCGGGGCCGACGTGGCCCTCCAGAGCCGCGAGGGCGACACCGCGGTGCATATTGCCGCGATGTATGGCAGCTTGTCGATGCTGACTCTCATGCTGAGCAGCAAGGTGGTCGACTCGAAGAATGAGCGCGGGCTGACGCCACTCGATCTCGCAAAGCAGGCGAGCGCCTCTTCCGCCTCGCTCCGTCTGCCCTCCAATCCCTCTATCCCACCGCCCGCCTCCTCCGCCTCCGCAGAAGCGCAAGTTTGAGTGCGTCGGCGCGCTGCAAAAGGCGCCGCCCTGGAGTGCTACGCCGCACCACCTCACGACCCGCGCGCCAACCGCCACACTCCCCTCTGCCCCTTAGGCGCTCGGCCAGCCTCTGTCGGCCGAAGTGACCAGCCCTCCCCCGCCGCTGCCCGAGAACTGGCTCGAGTCCGAATACGGCAACGGCACGAGCTTCTTCTTCAACCCGTTCTCTGGGGAGACCCTCGAGACGCGGCCGCCGCCTGATTATGTGGCCAAGAAGTAGCTCAAGGACGCCTCTGTGCCTGCGGGAGGAGATCAGCGGCCATGAAAACCCCACATCGCATGACTCGGAGCGTGCATGATGCATGTGCATGTGTGCATCGGTACGGACCCCCCCGCTCGTGCTCGTGATACGTGATGTGCGTTCGGGTTCGCGGCGCGCGAGGTTACCGTTCCGCCGCGCGAGATGCACACGAGGGGCGGGTGCGCGCGCGCGGCGGCCACCGCACGCTCTGGAGGGCGCTGACACCGCTGTCCGCGGTGATGGAGACGTCCATGTCGCATGTGTGTGGACGACGTCTCATCGTGCGTTCGTTTAGGTTTACGGCGCGGGTTTGTTGGGCATTACGTCTTTTTCGAGTGTCTGTTCATTACATCGATTTACGCGGGCCAAGACACAGTGGCCCCGCATACCGCAGCGCGCAGGACGACGCAAGCGCACACAAATCTCACAGTCCGAAGGCGCGAAAGGGTGTGGGGCGGGGGGATGAAACGGCCACGCCCAACACGGCGACGAGATGAGCGCGGCGCTCAGCAGAGGTCCTTGCGCAGCGCCACGCCCTCGCGCGGCGCGGCCGCCTGCCGCAGCTTGTCCGGCACTCCGCCTAGAGAGGGCAGGCAGGAGAAGGGTCGGGGCCGAGGGGAGCGGCGCGGCTCGGCCTCCTCCCGCCCGCGCACCGAGAGCGGCGGGGCCGAGGGCGGAGCTCTGCGGCGTGATGCCGTATTTGCGCTCGAGCTGCGCGCGCATGTCCACGGCAACCTCCGAGTTCTCGGGCACTGAGAGGCGGGCGGAGAGAGGGGTGGCCTGCAGCCCTCTCCTTCTCTCGTCCACTCCTCTCCCCCTCGCGCGGGGGAAGAGTCTCTCCGCCGCGAGAGGTGGGGCGGACGGGCGGCGGGCGAGTGAGGGGAGGCGGTGCTGCAGCAATGGGGGCGGGGGCGGAGCGCACATCCGAGGTAGTCCTCCCAGTCGATGGTCTCGTCGCGCCCGAGCACTGTGTTGAGGCCGAGGTGTGACGAGGGCAGCCCGGGCAGCCGCCCGACCTGGGAGAGGATGCCCATCTCCATCCGCCGCTGCATCGGCATCGCCGTCCCGTAGATGCTCCCCATGATGAAGTGCTGCGTCTCGAGCTGGCCTTGCAGCCACTGCGGGAGGCGCGCAACGAGGCCTCAGGTCCCCTTGGCGGGCCGGGGCGGGCGGCGTCCGGCTCGGAGGAAAGGGGGGCGGGCGGGCGGGCTGACTGGGCGCGACGCACGTTCTTTTGCAACGCCTCTGCCGGGTGCGCAGCCTCTTGCGCGTAAGCACGCTGCGCCGCGCGCGTCGCCGCCTCGCCGCCGGCAAGCAGGTCCTGCTGCTCGCCCCCGCGCTGCATCCTGCGGGCGCGACGAGAGCGGCTGGTGGGGAGAAGCAGTGGGTGGGTTTTTTGAGAGCTTGGGAGAGGAGAGGAGGTGGCGCGGAGTATATCGGCCCACATCCCTGGAGCGCTGAAGCAAGCGAGTCGCAAAAGAGAGAAAAAACTCCTCTAAGTGATCTGTGATCTGTAAGGGTCCGCCCGCAGGCGCATTTTGTATACCGAGGCGGTGCCCGGTGCCGAGCGCAGGCAGAGCCCACAGGTCGGACCTTAAGACAGCGTTGTAGATCCCTGGGCGAGGGTGGTGGAGAGGGCGGTCCGGCGGCGGAGCACCCACCTCCTCCCGGCGTGCCGGGAGGCAGGATGTCATCCCCCGTGATCCAGACTGCCCATGGGGCTGACCCGATGCCGATCATCCGGCCCGCTGCGCTTCTTAGCTCCCCGGCCCTGGATGTGAGGTTACTGACTGCACTCCAAGTGCTCCAAGGTGCGCCGCCTTCACGGCCCTTTCCCTGCGAACGCGCACCCCCCAGGGCTAGGTAGGGCTCTCTAGCCCGCAACCAACCCGATACCGATCATCTGGCCCTCTGGGTGCGCTTCTTAGCTCCCCGGCCCTGGATGCGAGGTTGACGACTGCACTCCAAGTGCTCCATCCAAGTGCCAAACCCGCCGCCCCACGCTTTTTCGATACGCCCAGTTCATCTCTCTCTCCGAACTGGCCTCTGGCGGAGGAGCGACTCATTCTTGAGGCATGCAGGTGGGTGTCGCCTCTCCCGCGGCTAGCTCCCGCGCTGGGCTGGGGCTGGGTGGGTCAGGTGAATGAACGTGTTTGAGTTGTTGCATGTTGGGAGAGAGGGTCGTCCAGAGTATCGACCTCTGTGGCTAGTCAGCCAGCCCCACTTTGAGGGCGCCATGAAGTACAGCGATCGCCAACTCGCTGGTCTCTCCGCAAGGCCTCCCGACCGCGCGTCGAACTCATCGGCGCGGGCTCTCTCGGCTAGACGGCGTACCGGCGTACGGCGCCGGCCCCAGCTTCGGCTGAGGGTCTCTCTCTGATGACGCCCCCCGCAGCAAATCGGTTTTTGCCCTTAAATAGTGCGATTCACACCGACGGGACCGAGGTCAAGCGAAAAATCGTTCACCAAAAATCGCACTATTCAGTAAATTCTCGACGCGCGAGAGAGATTTTTAGCAATACCAAACAACTCTAACACTCACACGTAATTTGGGGCCTGGAGCCCTGTTCACGCGCGCGCGAGACGTGCAGACAGGGTTGCCAGGTGAGAGCGAATGGCGCGGTTCACGCCTCGCACAACAGAGAGAGAGATGCGCTCTGCATGGTGGGACATAAAAGAGAGCGAGTACTTGGGCGAGTAGGCCGTGCGGTCAACGCTGCCGCGCGCGACTTTGCGCGCGAGGCGGCGCAGCTTGAGAACGGCGGTGGGCGAGAAGCCGCCGCCGAACGTCTCGTGGAGCAGCAGGTTGAAGTTGTTGCGCTTGACAAAGATCGCGTCGTGGTTTCGTGTGTTTTGACGCGCGTCGAGATCCAAAACTCGACGCGGCAACACCAAGCCCAAATCTGGCCAGAGCCCCATTCCTACCAAGCGTCGGCTTTCGCCGCTTCCGTTTCCTTGAGCACCCGCCCGTGGCTCCGAGGTCGCGGAAGTGGGAAGAGTGTCGGGTTGGCCCCGCCCGCCTAGCCTGCTCACCATGTATGGCGCCCCGGCTTCCAGCTGTCCAACGAGATCATCAAACTGGCGCCGCGTGCAGCGGAAGTTGGCCAGGTAGGTCGAATCGTCTCCCTTCAGCACGTACGTAGTTCCAGATCGTGCTGCAGCTCCATCCAGCCGCCCTCAGTCCAATGGATCTGGCGGCGGGGCGAGTCTCCGACTCCAGCTGCACCGCTGCGAGCACCAGAGCGGAGGTAGATGGAGATTGGGGGGGGGGGGGAGAGACCGTTGACGAAGTGTTGATATATAAAAAAGAATTTACACGGGGATCGCTGCTGACATACACAGTGTACACGATGATGGACTCCCTCGCCTGGGTTGACGGCATCGCCAATCCGATTACCCGCGTCGCAGACCAAGCCTGGTCAGACTCGCAGATCTGCGGCGGCAAGCCGTGCTCACCGTCAAACCAGTGAGCGCCGCATCTCCGCCAGCGCCACGTCTCCGCCAGTGCCACGTCACCACCCTGCCACTGTACTGCCACCCGCGCGAGTACTCACCTACCGCCTGCGTGCCGCGAGCAGGTTCTGCGCCAAGCCTTTTGTCAATGTACCGCGACGACGGAAACTTTGACGGTGCGGAGCCTCTCCCGAAGCCTTCCGGCTTTGAGGACCATAGGCGCCGACGTACCACCTCATGGACCAGCACGGCTGCGCCGAGAACGATCCGAACGGGCCCGTCTTCGACCCGGTCCACGGCGTCTTCCATCACTTTTACCAGATCCACCTCGCCGCCCCGCCCGGGCACGACAACCGGCACGCGGCGTGTGCGAGAGGGGCGCAGCCAGCTGTGAACCGCGCGGCGGTGTGAACAGGCACGGCCCGGACTACGGCCACTTTGTCTCCAAAGACTTTGTGTCGTGGGCGGCAATGCCCGTCGCCATCTGGAACGGGCTCGACGCGTCTGCCTGGCCTCCCCGGGCTACTCCGTACGACAACCAGGCACATCTTGACGGGCTCCGCAGGCGGCGGCGCACGGGGCGCCTCCTCACAGGTCTGCACCTCTGTGAGCAGGCCATCTACACGGGCTCCGCGGCGGTGGTGGAGGGCGCCGGCCCGGGAGGCGCGGCGGCGGGGGGCCGTCCTCCTCCCCCCCCGAGGTTGCCCCACTCACAGCTGCGCCGCGTGCACAGGCGAGGGGCCGGGCATCGTCCAAATCTATCCAGGCCTCTGCAACAAGGCAGACTGGCCCGCATGCGAGACGGGCACTCTGCTCGCGCAGGCGGCAGCGGCACTCTACCTCCCGACGGTCAATGAACTCGCTACACTCGTCCGCTCATTCACAGGCGGTGCCGGCAGACTACGCCTCCGACCCGCTCCTCGCCAACTGGACAAAGCCGAGCTACAACCCGATCATGGAGAACACGCAGCGCGACCCGTCGACGCCGTGGCAGACGCCGTCGGCAGCCGCGGCGGCTCTTTGAGCTCAGCCTGAACGAATGGGGTCGGGTGCACTCTGTAGGCAGACGCCGTCGGGAGAGTGGCGGCTGCGCACGTTCAACTCGATGGTGTACGGCTCCGCGTCCAGCAAGGACCTGCTCGCGGGCAAGTGGTACGAGATCGGAAAGTCGGACGACTTTCGGCAGTGCGAGTGCCCGAGCGTGTACCCGCTCCCCGCCGCCACACCGGGCAGCGGGGCTGCGCACGAGGGTGCCGAGCAGCGAGCAGCGCCTCTTCACGCCTCCAGCTGGTAGCAGGCACCGAGGCGGCGTATGAGGAGGCCAGGCGGGCTGGGATGCCGGACACGGTGCACAAGACTTCCTGCGGAGGAGACTGGTGGCAGCTGGGCTCGTACGATCCCGGCGCGCCGAGGAGCGTCGGCTCCTTCAAGCCGACGCCTGGCTGGGAGGAAGCTCGCCTTCGCGCAGCAAGCGGACCGGCCCGAGGCGACTCACCGGTTGACTCGTGGCTGGTGGTGAACAGGAACTCTTTGCGCAGAAGCGGATCGACCAGGGCAACTTTTACGCGTCCAAGGACAACGAGTACCCGACGCTCGCCGGCGGGAAGCGGCGAGCCAGCGACGGCCGCACGCCACACACTGCCCGGGGGCCACGGCGAGCCGTCGGCTTTACCTGCGCAGGCGGATCAACTGGGGGTGGGCGACGGTTCCTCCAGCGTCGGCCCAGACTCTGCCTCGGGAGGTCACTTTCAACGCAGAGGCGCGCGCGCTGCAGCAGTACCCGATCGAGGAGATCGCCGGCTTGCGAGCGGCCGCAGCATTCGACAGGCGCCCGCTCGCCGCCGGGTCGGGCGGGATCGAGACTTGCCGAGATGAGCCGAGATGTCGGCCGGCGGTAGGCGAGGCGTCGCTGTGCGGGGCAGTGTCGGGCTTGGTGTTCCGGCGGGCGTCGCTCGGCAAGCGGAGCTGCTCGTCTCCTTCGCCCTCCCTTCCGAGAGCGCCACCTTCGGCGTCCGGATCGGCGGCTCAAGCTCGGGCGATGGCACCGTTTGCGCCCTCGCCTGCTCCGCCGCACGGCGCACGCCCCCTCACGCCCGACTGCCTCGCGGGCAGGCATCGGTTGCTCCGTCAACTACACGGCCGGCGCCGCCAACGCCTCCGTCGCGTGCGGCGGCGCGCACGCCTCGCTGTCGCTGCGAGCCCACACCCGCCCGCTTGACTACTGGCGAATGGCAAACTCCAGGCGTGCGCGACTCGCTTCCGCTGCTCGCGCGCGAGACGTCGGTCGAGCTGCGCGTCTTTGCAGGAGCTGGCCGAGATCCGCCGAGATCCGCCGAGATTCGAAGTCGGTCGAGGTGCTGCATTTGCACGCCAACCACTCTCCCCTTTCCGTCCTCCGCCATCGCTTTCCCGCCCGCCGCCGCTGCTGGTAAAAGAGGCCGCCTCTCGACGCCACCTCCACCTTTCGCAGACTGGACGTTTGTCGAGGCCTACTTCCAGCGCGGCCGCGTCGCCATCACCGCCAAGGCCGCCTTCTCTCCCGACACCGTCGCTTCGCTCACGTCCAACGTCACCGTCGCCGCGGACGTGTCTCTCTCAGTCTGAAATGCGCCAGTCTGAAATGCGCCTCTTCACGCGTGTAGCAAGCTGTGAACAGGTGTCGCTCTTCCCGATGAAGTCGATCTGGGTCGACCCGGACAAGGTGCGCGCCGCGCCGCGGGTGTACAAGTAGAGCGTCAAAACCCCGTGACACTGTGTTGCTGTCTTTCTCGCCATGGTTCCTCGCCTGTCTTACTATTCTAGCGCCATTCGGATTCGCGTTGAGACTTGAGTTTCGACAGTACGACAGATGTTTGAGCTTGAGGACAGGTCCAGCCTCTAGAGAAGAGCCGTGCTCCACGCATGCCGCATGGTCGCGTTCGCGACGCGCCAGGCCCCCCGCGCAGGCCGCGCCCAGAGGCTCGGTGAAGACCCCCCCCCCACAGAGGAGCGAGAGCGCGGGGGCATCGTTCGGATCGGCCACGGTCACGCCACCGCGTCTCCACGTACTCTCCACACCGTGTACACAAAAAAGTTACAACATCACATAAAAAACAGCTTCAACATGTGTCTCTCTCCTCTCTCCTCTGGACGGTTTCGACCCCTCGACGCATGGGCCCTGGCCTGTGCACCTCCGCAACACACATTCACTCCGTGCAAGCGCGACGCGCCGGTCGTGCCCACCGCTCATATCACTATGTTGCGCATCAGTCTGCCGATGGCCTTGAGGCCGGACCACATCTCCTCCCGGGAGCCGCTCGAGTCGAGCTCGACGATCGGCACGCGGCTCGCTCGCAGCCACTCGAGAGTAGGCTCGCTCTGCTGGCGGTAGACGGCGATGCGCCGCACAGCCGCCTACCGGCACGTCCAGAGAAGGGTCCGGGCAAGGCTCCAGAGAAGGGGGTTGGGCGGCGGTGCGGCCGCCTTGCGCGTGTCGTCTGCGCGCCCCTCGGTCTGCGCGCGGCGCAGGATCCGCTCGAGCATCTTCTCCTCGTCGCAGACCAAGTGCAGCGCCTGCGGGACGAGTCCGGGACGCGTGCCACACATGCGGTGCACGTGTCCGCCCCGCTGCAGGTGCAGGCGCCAGCTCCGGCCGGCCGCACTGCGCCTCGAAGTCGATCGCATTGTCGCGCGAGCGCGGGAAGCCGTCGAGCAGCAGCCGCCGCCCGCCTAGAGGCGCGGAGAGCATGCGGGTCAGGCTGCCGCGGGCGGCGTCGGCGGGGCGCTTGCCGGCTTTGGCCCGCCGAAGGAGCGCATGCGGCGGCGCAGTAGAGTGACGATGAGCGCCGAGGAGACGAGCTCGCCTGGCGGAGGGATGGCACTTCTAGGAGGTGTCTAGGAGGTGTCCAGGAAGAGCTCGCCTGGTGGAGGGATGGGTGGCGGGTGGCTGGCGCGGTTTGGCGGTGGTTGCCGGTAGTGTCTAAGAAGTGTCTAGGAGATCTCTAGGAAGTGTCTAGGAAGTGTCTAGGAGATCTCTAGGAAGTGTCTAGGAAGTGTCTAGGAAGCCTCGCCGCGGAGCATGATGCCCGCCACCTCGCGTCCGAGTGGCGTGTCTGCCTCCACCTCGGAGCGGAGCAGGTCGCCTGCAGGGGAGGGCGGGCAGGGCCGGGGATGGGCCAGAGAAGGGTCAGTCAAGGCTCGCCAACCTCGGGGCCTCCTGCGCCCGCGAGGGTCGATCTTGGCTGCATCTCGGCCGCATCTCGGCCGCATCTCGCCGCAGCTGACGTGCGAGACGTCGCACTCGTCGACGAGGCGGCGGCAGAGGACGCCCTTGCCGCTCCCGGGCCCGCCCACGACCAGGATACAGCGCGCCTCACCGCGTGTCCCGGACGTGTCCCGGACGTGTCATGCGGCCGAGTGGGCAGAGAGCCCAACGAAGCAGGCTGCTGCACCGGGTTCGAGGCGAGCAGCGCGTCCGAGGCGTGCAGAAACTCGTCCAGGTCGATGGCGCCGCTGCTGTCGACGTCCGCCTGCGGCACGCGGATGGTTGGAGCGGGCGAGCGCCGGGATGCCGGCAGTGCTGTCTGTCGAGGTCGCGACCTGGTGGAAGAGCTCCTCGAGCGTGGCATCGTCCGGCCTCTCGCCCACGCTCGCGAGCAGCGCGCGGAGGCCGTCGCGGTCAAGCTGCCTCGCGGGGCCGGCATAGTCGTCGAACAGGTCTATGATGGCCGACATCTCGAGCGGGAGAAACGCGCGGTTCGCGGACTGCGCCGCTTGCCGCTGCCGCAGCGAGCGCGCAAAGACGCGCGCCTTTTTGGACGGCGCCGCTGCCTCGAAGCCGTGCGGGAGCGGCGCGGACGCGAGGATCTCCTCCGCCTCTGTCACGGCCCTGCCGGGCCAAAGCCGGTCGAGCCGCGCGTCGCCGTCAGGCTTGAGCGGGTCGTCGCCCTTGTCTTGCGAGGAGGCGGCTCGGCGAAGCAGCTGTGCTGGCGCGCGCGTCAGTCGCGGCAGGCGAGTGCTCAACGGGAGGCACGGCCGCCGTGCTCGCATGCGCGGTGGATGAAGAAACGCGGGTGCGCAGGTTGTAGGTACAGGTGAGCAGGTTTTGGCTCCCATCCCTCCCTTGGCTTGTCTCTTTTTTCTTTTCTTTCTGAGCAGGATTTGGGAAGGACGATCAGGGTGGCGCTGATTTCGCCCGTTTTTCCTTGTTGAAATAAAAGAAAGAAAGAAAACAGACAAGCAAGGGAGGGATGATTGAAACACATTCGACGAAATTCTTTTCTTGCTTGTTGGCACCGAGAGGCGTCCAACACCGACAACCATCATCTCAGCGTCCATCCTGCGCGAACCGTCGTCGTCTCTGCGCTGGGAGGACGGCTGCAGCCGAGACGCGGTGCCGCAACTTCAGCGGACGCACAACGCGCTGGCGGCGCTTGTGCAGGAGGAAGCGGCGACCGAGACAAAGAAAGAGGCGGAGAGGCATACGGTGTTAGGGAAGCGGGAGCGGGAGGCGGACCTGGAACGTCTTCTCGGGTCAGGGAAAGGCTCCATCATGGGCCCGCGCAAGACGGGCCTCACAAACTTCCAGCTCGACAAGCTGCTCGACTCATACGGCGTCGCTGCGGCGGACCGAGGAAACAAGCAGGCCCGGCAGGATCGCGCCAAGAGCCTGGTGGAGAACGAGCTCAACAGCCTGCGCGCGGAGCTGTCCGTCTACTCCGCCCCCACCGTCGTGCCGGCCGTGAGCACCGGCGCTGAGGGCGAGGCCGCGAGCCTGATATCGGCGAGCGGCGGCGGCGCGCTGCCTGCCGCCTCCCTCGTGGCCGGGGTGCTCGGTCCTGCGACCAACTCCGCACCCGCGGCCTCGGAGAGCTTCTTGCCGGTGGCGGCCGCTGAGGTCACCTCGCCCGGGCTGCTCGCGGCTGCGGTGCGACAAGACCGCCCCTCTTTGCCCGGCTCCTTCTCTACCGCCGCAGCAGCTGCCGCCTCGCCTCCCCTCCTCCCAGCCTCTGCCGCAGCCCAGCACGCCCAGCACGCTCGCCAGCCCGCTCCCACCGCCCCGCTCCGCAGGCGGCCTCCGCCTTTGCCGAGACCGCCAACCACCTCCACAACCTCGCACAAGCGGCAGACACGCACTGAGATGCTGCTAAGACGCTGCGTCACGCAATGCCCCTCCCAGCGCCCAAGAGAAGAAGGCACGGGCCGCGGCTGCCCGCCCTCGGTTCCTCGCATTGCACCAGTCGCCCTTTCGTAGCCACGCGAGGTTCTGAACACACCGCACGACTCTCCCCCCCCCCCCCCTTCCCCTCTGTCCCTCCGCGTCTTCACACTCCACGCAAGCACTCTCCCGCATCCTCACTCTCGGCTGACTCTCGGCTGACACGCCTCCCGCACCCTCAAGGCGAACACCCTCCCGACGACCGTCTCCGACACGGCGTCGCATGCCCTGCCCCCCTCGCTGCCGGGCGCGTTTGCCGCAGGCGCCGCTGCGTCGCGAGGGGCCGAGCGCGCCGCCGGCCGCGTGGGCTCACGCTGCGAGGCACTGCGAGTAGGCGCGTTCGCCACGAGTGGCGTGGGACCCTGGGCGGGCGACTGAGCTACGGCTCGGCAGCTACGAAACGGTGCGTGCACGTGGGGCTTCGAGTGCCTTCAGCGCCTTAGGGTGTGAGGGCGGTGGGTCAGATGAGAGCGAGGAGGGTTTAGGTCGGGTAGCATGTGGGGGGTTGGCCGCGAGGCTGGGGAGTGCCCGCTGTGCCCGGTGGTCGAATAGTCAATAGAAATTCTGATAGTGGACACCGATGCCGCAATTCTCTTTCTCTCATTTACCTGGTAAACGCAGGCGTGGACCTCCATAGTGGGTGGAGCGTGGACCGACACCGAGGACACACGCTCGCACGGGGGGGGGGGGTTCCCAGGGGGGGGGGGGTTGCCGGGGTGGACAACGGTGTGTGTGTAAGTGTATCTGTGTGACTCTGTGTGTGTGTGCGCGCGCGCGGTTTGTTTTGTTGCCTCACTCTCTCCTCTCCCTCTCCCCCTCTCCCTCTCCTTCTCTCGCTCTCTCCCACGCGGCACTTACTAACGGTACGCACGGTGGTGCGGTGTGCAAACGTGTTCGGTTGCTCCACTTCGCGCTCCTTTTTATTACCGCCGCTGGGCGGCCGCTTGCTGCAGTAGACTGTCTCTCTCTCCCAGGAGCTGATGAGGTAGCGACGGCGCGCTAGGCTACTCCAAGTCGACTGTCAGCCGACCATCGCTGTTTCGGCTTTCGAACTGGTGCTCGTGCGAGCTTCCTTCTCTGCTGGAGTCCTCGGGCAGCGCGTCGAAGCGCGAGAACGCAAACTCGGTCGAGTACGGCGCCGCTACCTCGTACATGGCCGCCGTCCCCTCGATGGCACCCTCGGCCATTGCCTTGGTGACAAAGTGCTCGCCCGGGCCAGGCCGCTCGGGGTAGACGTCGGTGAGGCCCTCACGCGGCGCGGCCGAGGAGAAGGACTGGCCAAAGAGCCCGTGCGGTAGATTGCGCGCCGCATAGTCGCCCCTCACATTGAAGGAAACGTCCAGCCGGTGCGATGGGCCGGTGGTAGCGTAAGAGCGGTGTCCCTTCACCGCCACCGTCCACTGCTTGGACGTGAAGGCGGCGCTGACCATCTTGACGGTGATAGTGAGCTCCTCGCACGCCTTGTACCCACCCTTGCCCATTCTAAAGTGGCTGGGTGAGCGGCCGGGCGTCCCGCACCATCCAGTGACCGTGCTCCATCCCCAGTTGTCGTCGTTGAGCTCGCTCGCCCAGTAGGAGACGTTGGCCCATTTGCGCTTAGCCCCGCCCACCCGCGCCACGATATGCACCTCCGTGATGAACGAGCCCTCGACGATGAGAGTGCCTCCCGGCCGCTGTAGCGGGAAAGTGGCGTTCTCCGTCTTGAGGTTGACCGCGAGCCCGGGCGCCGAGAAGAAGTTGTACAGCTGGCCGTGGCGGCCGCGGAAGTCAGCTCTTCCGCCGTGTGCAAAGTGGAGATGGGGGTCCTTTTCGATTGCGAGGGGCGGCGGCGACGGCGACGGCGACGGCGGCGGGCTTGGCGGCGGCGGCGGCGGCGGTGGCGGCGGTGGCGGCGACGAAGGAGAAGGCGGCGGCGGGCTGGGCGGCGGCGGTGTGGGTGTTGGCGAGGCGGACGGCGTCGGCGGGGAGGGCGAGGCCGACGGCGGCGGTGGTGACGGCGAGGCGGAGGCAGGCGGCGGCGAGGGCGAGGCCGACGGCGGCGGCGGGGAGGGCGAGGCCGACGGCGGCGACGGCGAGGCGGAGGGAGGCGGCGGCGACGGCGAGGCGGACGGCGGCGGCGGCGAAGGTGATGCGGAGGGAGGCGGCGGGCTTGGCGGAGAGGGGGGAGGCGGTGGAGTGCTCGGTGGGTCAAGCTGGCCAGGGGTCAGCGGCGAAGGCGGCGGCGGGGATGGCGATGCGGACGGCGGCGGCGGCGACGGCGAGGCCGAGGGAGGAGGCGGCGAGGGTGAGGCGGACGGCGGCGGCGGCGACGGCGAGGCGGACGGCGGCGGCGGCGAAGGTGATGCGGAGGGAGGCGGCGGGCTTGGCGGAGAGGGGGGAGGCGGTGGAGTGCTCGGTGGGTCAAGCTGGCCAGGGGTCAGCGGCGAAGGCGGCGGCGGGGATGGCGATGCGGACGGCGGCGGCGGCGACGGCGAGGCCGACGGCGGCGGCGGCGAGGGCGAGGCGGAGGGCGGCGGCGGCGACGGCGAGGCCGACGGCGGCGGCGGCGAGGGTGAGGCGGAGGGCGGCGGCGGCGACGGCGAGGCCGACGGCGGCGGCGGCGACGGCGAGGCGGAGGGAGGCGGCGGCGAGGGTGAGGCGGAGGGAGGCGGCGGCGAGGGTGAGGTGGAGGGTGGCGGCGGTGAGGGCGCGGCGGAGGGAGGCGGCGGTGACGGCGAGGCGGAGGGAGGCGGCGGCGAGGGTGAGGCGGAGGGAGGCGGCGGCGAGGGTGAGGTGGAGGGTGGCGGCGGTGAGGGCGAGGCGGAGGGAGGCGGCGGCGAGGGTGAGGTGGAGGGTGGCGGCGGTGAGGGCGCGGCGGAGGGAGGCGGCGGCGACGGCGAGGCGGAGGGAGGCGGCGGCGACGGCGAGGCCGAGGGAGGCGGCGGCGAGGGTGAGGTGGAGGGTGGCGGCGGTGCGGGTGGCGGTGGGCTTGGCGGCGGTGGCGAGGGGGGCGGCGAAGGAGGCGACGGATACACGCACTTGGTCGGCACACTACTGGCGCCAAAGATAAAATTACGGCCATACCGGGCTTCGTCCACCAGGGTTGGATTCGCCACCGTAAGATTGACCGTGAAACTGCTCCCCTCGGGGTATTGCAAGCATACAAACTTCGGCAGGGTGTAGCGGAACGGCTGCCCCTCGAACTGCGTGTGTGCATCCCATCTTAAATGGGCGTCAATTGAGCTTGCGCGAGAAAATTTTGGGAAAACACCGGCCTCTTCCTTGTAAACATGGTTGTTATACTCCTCTTCGGTGCAGTTGATCATGTCGACCTCCTTCAAGTGGGCACGCGGAAAGCCGGAGACATAGTCAGCAATTTGCCTCCCGTATTTCTTTCCAGGGCACTTGTCGTAGTCTGCACACGTTCCCGCAAAGTCGGTGAAGCGGCGGTCATCGGGGGTGTTCAGCAGCACCTGGTAAAAGTCAAAGGGGTTGTCATCCCCTTCTCCTTCCTTCTTGGCTTCGACGACGACGCAGCCCCCTTCACTTGTGACACTAATGTATTCCGACGTGCTGATTTCTTCGCACAGGAATTTCGATATTAGCACGTCGCGGTCGCCTGGTTTCCCGTGCATGAAGTAATTGCTGGTCCCGCAGGTCTGAATCTTCTCCACCTGACGCGCCGACGGCGGGAGGAGTGGGTGAGTGAGTCGTCATCGAATCACAGCCCTTGGATTAAGAGAGCTCAGTGCGCAAGCTCCGGAGGCGCAAGGCTTTTTCCCCTACAAGCTGCCGCGCGCCATGTTGTTGCTCATGGCGTTATCAAAGTCGTAGAAGCAAAACTCGTACGGGTAGTCTATGCTGAGCGAGCCAGTGCCCCGCAAGGCCGAGGGCAGAACGAACTCGAAACGGAAGTCGGTGCTCGTTCCTTTGCGGAGATTGATCTGCCCAAACGTGCCGTACTCCTGGCGACCATTCTGCGACGAGCTCCAAGGCGTATATGCGGTGATGTTGGTGACAACTAGGTCCGCCGTGATCGGCTCTGCCCCCGTTCCATCGAAGAGCAACGCCACCTCACTGTACCGCAGCTCCTCCGCGGCACAGGCCCCTGGCTCTGGGCACTTGCCATCGCACTGGCAGCCGCATCCACAGCCACACGTTTGTCCAATCCAGTTGTCCAGTTCCCCATGGCTGCAGGTGACGTTTGGACCACCCGGCTGTCCTCCCAGGTTGTTTATCGACTGCGTCGAGTTTTGGAAGTTGATGTAGACGCCCTGCGGAAAAGCTCCGTCGGGGCACCAGCTTTCTGGACAAAATACCCCTGAATCCCCTGAAGGGCAGTTCTCTCTTGTCGTCGCGTGACTGCTCCACCCGGGAGGCGTGCGGTGCTCATTACGGTAGCGTTCTTGGCGAGCTGGGTGCGGAAACACCTCGGCGTCGCCAATGCCATCACCGTCAAAGTCAGTGTCCAGGTGGTCGCCGATGCCGTCGCTATCTGCGTCGAGCGTGCCTTCGACGGCGTTGGGAATGCCATCACCATCAGAGTCGGGGTCATCGATATCACCGACGCCATCACTGTCGCTGTCGGCTGGGTCTCCTCCGAACGATCTTCCGGATCGGGGCTGAGGCGGGACTGTTGGGCAGCACGCGCACAGCTCGGCCGACCCCTCCCATCCCGAGCAATCGACGCTCTGTGGCAGCGCGGTGGCGGCCCAGCACATTTGAAGGAGGTCAGGACGAGTGTTGCAGTCAGCTACAGGGCCGAGGTAGTCGGCAATGCCGTCGCTGTCCGAGTCGGCCGTACCCTCCTCGGCGTCGGGGACGTCGTCTGCATCCGAGTCGGGGTCGAGGTAGGCTGCGATGCCGTCACTATCCGAGTCGCCCACGCCCTCTGCGGCATCGGAGATGCCGTCTCCATCCGAGTCGGGAGCGGACACCTGACAGCACGTGCATTCTCCTCCCAGCCCCCAGTTCATGCAACTGACGCCCTGCGGCAGACTCGTCCGCTCCCCACGTGCATTCTCCTCCCAGCAGAAGAGCTGCTCGTCTGCGCCGCTGCACGCGACCTCGACGTAGCGGGAGGATGGTCGACCTGTCGCCGTGGACGACGACGTGCCGCAGAGCAGCAAGATCATGCCGACAGGCAGGAACATGGGGCAGGAACCGGAAGCGCCGTAACGGCGAACATATTGCAATAACACACTATTCGAACTCATGAATCCGATGACATCTTTGCCCGAGCACTTTTTTCTCGTCCTCGTTGACGCGTTTGTGATTGTGATTTGTGTGGCCTGTGGCGAGGGTCTCTGAGAGGAGGTGACAGGTGACAGGTGTGAGGGGTCGGCCCCCCCGCAGGCGCGAATTTTGTAGGAGCGGTGCCCCGGTGCCGGACTGGCGGACCTTAAGACGAGTTTGTTGTGGTTCAAGTGAGTGACACAGAAGGGCAACACACAAGCCGAGTGTGCGACGTGTGCGAGCGCAATCGCAGCGGGCGCCGTCGTGTGCGCTGTGCGCGGGGTGTGACGATCGCGACAGAAATCTCGCCAGAAAACGTAAAGACGCCTCGCGTCACGCCGAGGGTGCGACAACCTTGCCGTCCTGGCCTATCTTGACCGTCGTCGCGGTGGCGGGAGCCGTCGTCTCGGCCACGGCCGCTACCACCTCCTCGCCAAACGCGCCTGTTCGCGGCAGCTCCGGGTGAGATGCGAGAGCGCTGGCGCGCGGGCTCGTCGGCAAGATGCGGCGCCAGAGTCGAAGGACTCGCCTGCGGCGGTGGCCGCCTCCTCGGCCCACGCCTCGGCCAGCGCCACCGAGATGGAGTCGGGCTCGCCGCGCGCCGCCTCGAGGAAGGCGTAGATCGAGCCAAAGTCGCGCGACGCGAAACCGCGCTCCGCCGACAGTCGGTAGAGGCGGCGGGCGTGCTCGGCGGAGGGCGTGGGCGCGCCAACGGCGGCGGCGGCGTCGAGGGCGAGGCGGAGGTCCTTGAGCATGAGCGACGTTGCGAAGCCGCCCTCGTAATCCCTCGCCGCCGGCACGCCCTCAAGGATGCCCGGCACCTGTTTTCAGCGCGGCAGCTGTGAGCAGACGCCAGCCTCGCCGCCGGCGCGCCCGCGCTGCCCGGCACCGGGTTGTACGTGTCGGAGGACCAGCAGCGGGCGGTCGAGACGTTCATCACCTGTCGCGTGCGGCGGCGGCGGTGCGAGGGCTGCGGCGCGGCCGTGCGGCGCAAGAGGCGAGGGAGGCGAGCACGAGCCCAGTGCGAGGCGCGGTGCGGCGGGGCGGGAGGGACGCGACGGGGCGAGGTGAGGCATCGCACTTGACTCCCGCGCAGCTGATCTCGGCGCGTCTCGGCGAATCTCGGCGCGTCTCCATCTCGGCGCATCTCGGCGCATCTCGCCTGGGCCAGCACGTGCGGGTCGACGCCTTGCGCCTTGCCGAGCGAGAAGGCCTCTGCGGTGGCGAGCATCTGGAGGGAGAGGGCGAGGTTGTTCGCCAGCTTGACCGCGAGGCCGGCGCCCACGCTCCCGCACCGCACGGGCGGCTTGCCCATCTGCGTGAAGAAGGGCGTCGCGGCGGCAAACGCGGCGTCCGAGTCGGACCCGACCATGAAGGTGAGGCTGGCGCTAGCGGCGCCGGGCGCGCCGCCCGAGACCGGCGCGTCGAGAAAGTCGCACCCGTGCGCCGCCGCCGCTGACGACATCTCGCGCGCAGTCGCCGGCTCCACCGTCGAGCAGTCGACGAGGAGCGTCTGAGGCTTGCAGGCAGAGAGCAGGCCGTCGGCGCCCGTGTAGACCTCCCGCACCGCAGCGCCGGAATGCAGCATCGTGAAGACGGCGCCGCCCTCGCCGGTCACGGCGGACGCCACCTCGGCCGGCGACGATGCAAAGGTCGCGCCGGCGGCGGTGAGCGGAGCGGCCACGGCAGGGTTGAGGTCGTGCACGACGAGGCGGCGGCCAGCCTTGAGCAGGTTGCGCGCCATCGGCAGACCCATGTTGCCGAGCCCGATGAAGCCGACGCCAGGGAGACCCATGCTTGCCGGACGGGGGTAGGCTGGAGAGAAGGAGAGGGCGGGATGGGAACGGGGACGCGGCCGGCACGTCATCAGGTTTTTTTTCTTGTCGGTATAAGGTCGCGTTGTTATCTTTTTTATTTGCTGACGCCGGCGGCCTTCTCTCGAGTAACTCTACGTCGCGAGCAGCTGCGCGGTAGCGCGAGGCCGCGTAGGGACGACATGGCGGCCACGACGGTCATCATCGCCTCCTACTCTGGCTTCCTGAAGGAGGAGGCCACATCGGTCTGCGCGGCCGCCATCAAGGCGCTCACCGAAGGGATCCGCCGCTCGACGGCGACGACGCTCATGGGGCTGCGCAACGACCTCATGCAGGCGGGCGAGGCACTCAAGCAGTGCGACGACGCGCCCATCTCGATTGAGTCGCTCTGCGAGCTCTTCGTCCGCTTCGTCACCCGCACCGCGCTCGACGTGCCCGACTTTGGCTCGTGCAAGGCGCTCCTCATCGAGCGCGGCGAGATGTTTGCGCAGAAGGCGCAGGCGGCGCGCGACCGGATCGCGCAGCTGGGCGCGCCGTTCGTCACCGACGGCGCGATGGTGCTCACCCACGGCTACTCGCGCATGGTGCTTGGGGTGCTGCTCGCTGCGGCGGCACGCGGCTGCCACTTTTCGGTGCTCGTCGCCGAGTCGCACAGCGGCGGCGGCGGGCACGCGACGGCGCATGAGCTAGCGCGCGCGGGCGTGCCGGTGACGATGATCGAGGACGCGGCGGTCGCGCATGCCATGGCGAGGACCTCGCTCTGCCTGAGCGGCGCCGAGGCGGGCGGCGCCGCTGTCGCGGCTGGCTGTGCGGACAGGGGCGCCGACGTGTTTTCCCTCGCCCCCTCCCTCAGGCGGTGGTCGAGTCGGGAGGCGTCCTCTCCAAGACGGGCACCTTCCAGATCGCCATCGTCGCCGCCGCCTGCAAGAAGCCGTTTTACATCGCCGCAGAGAGCACAAAGTTCGCGCGCAAGTTCCCGCTCTCGCAGCTCGACCTGCCCGCCGCAGAGGCGCGCGCCTCGGGCACGGCGAGAGGGAGGCGGTGGGGCGGCCCTGCTGAGCCCCTCCCTCCCTCCCCTCTAGGCGCGCCGGGAGCACGCAGCCTTTGCCGGCAGAGGGCCGCCGCCGCCCACGCTGCGCGCAGAGACGCCGTCGCGCGACTACACCCCGCCGTCGTACATCACGATGCTCTTCACCGACCTCGGCGTGCTCACCCCCTCCGCCGTCTCGGACGAGCTGATCAAGCTCTTTACGTAACGGATCCCGAGCGCAGGCCGCAGCGCCGCACCGATCTGCATCGGCGTGTGGGGCAAACAGAGACGAAAGTCTCGCATAACAACGATTTCCGCAGAACACACTGAAAAGTATTTTTCTCTCCGCTCGGCCGGACCGGTTTTATGATGCTGTGGGCGCTGCTCTCGGTGGTGCAAAGGTCGTCGCCGTCTTCTGCCGCCAGGTGCGCGCCGCCGGTGCAGCAGGAGGGTTCGCGGCCGCCGCGGCAGGTCGAGAAGCTGAGAAGCCTCGGGCGGATCGAGACGCCGGCGGCGCAGCCAGCCCCTCATCCGCGGGCCGACCACGCGCCGGCGGCGGGCAACAGGGCGTACGCACGAGCCAGGCGGGAGGCGCGCGCGGCGGCGCAGGAGCAGCAGCGCTCGCTCGCGGAGTGGGCCTCGGCGAGTGGGAGGAGCGGGCGAGGGGGTGCGTCGCCGGTCGACATGGCGCCCGTCGAACTGCATGCGCCCGATGTGGTGGCGGGCGGCGGCGGCGAGAGTGGCGCGTCGAAGCTCGAGGCGGCGGACGGCGGCGCGGGAGGCGCGGGAGGCCCGCTGGCGCCCGAGGTTGTCAGCGGCGGCGCGAGCGGCGTGCTCGGGTTTTCCTGCGGCCGCGCGTGCCGCGCGGCGGAGGAGGCGGCGGCGCTCGGCCTCGGCGCAGCCTTTGTGTGCGCGACGCTGCTGAGCCGCGCGGGGTACGTCGCGATTGACCACTCCAAGGTCGAGAAAGACCTCGTCTCTCTCCTCGACCACAACAAGGGCGCGCGCCCGCCCTCTGCTGCTCCCGCCGCCTCCGTACACCCTGCCCCCGCCGCTCCACCCCTCGCAGACGGCCGCATCGACCGAGACGACTACGCCTTTGCTCTGAGGAGGGTCGCATCGGCCCTGGGCGGGCACGGCGTCAGCAGCTCTGCCGGATTCGCCGCCGGGTTCGTGCTCGGCTTCATGGGCCACTGACGAGTGCGCCATGTAAACTCCACATCAATTCTTCCCTTCCCGGCGCACCGGACGTGGCGACACAACTCGATCGGTCGTAGAGGAGAAGTTCTGAGAGTTCTGAAACGTGTCGTGAACGAGCGCTTGTGGTGAGAACACTTGTGAGAATGAGATTATAGTGTGCCTCGTTTGCTTGTGTCATGTACAACCAGCAGTATCGTAGACATACATTATCAGGACTGCGATTTTTCACGGTGCGGTCGTAAACGTAATATATCGTATCACACACACGACACAGCTATCCTGCCGCATGCCGCCCTCTCATGGAGAGTCTCTTCGCCAGCGGAGGGGAGAGGCGAAGGCGCGGCGCCAATGAGACAGCGCCGCCTCGCAGCCGCTCCCACGCAGCGTTGGCCTCGTCCACCACCGACGGCTCTGCCGCTCCGCTATCTGCGCAGGAGAAGCAAAAGTTGGACTCTGCGCGGAGGAGCTCAGCCGGATCCATCAGGCGGTAGTAGTTTCCCTCGCTCGGCGCCTGGGTGACAAAGGGCGCCGGGCTCCCGAACTCGCCAGACGCGTACAGCAAGGCGAAGAGAGCAACTGAGAGAAGACCGGCCGGGCTTCGCAGCCCGCCGACGCAGATCTCAGCGAGCAGGACAAGATTGCCGCCCACAGCCCCACCCACCGCCTTCAGCTCCGCCAAGCCGCTCTCCAGATCATCTCCCGCCGGAGCCTGGCGTTGCTCTGCGACCCGTAAAACTTGATCGGCATCATTCGCAGAGACGCCGTCATCGTTGCCGGACCGATTACCTTCATCGGAAGCAGGGCTGCCAGCGTCACTCGAGACCAGCCTCTCAAGCGCCGCGCGCTTGGCCTCAAAACGCTTGTTCGGGTCGCCCGTCGCCTCGATATCCGGGTCGCCCGTCGAGCACAACACAACGTCGCCGTGGCGCGACGTCTGGCGCGATGAGCGCAAAGGTGGCAGCATTGGTGTACTGGGAAAGAATTTTTCTGCACACGGGAGGCGCGCACTGGCACTAGCACAGGTACACCACGGGAGCCGCCTAAGCGACTCCTGAGAGGGCGGCGAGGCACTTAGCTCCGTGCACCCGCCCGCCCCCGCCACAGGCGAGCTCATTCACAATCTGCTCTGCGATTGCCGTGTGAAGAACGACCGAGAAGGGGTGGCTGGTGTGGTGGTGGTGGTGGGAGATTGGGTAAATAAGAGTCATTGAGCCTTGGCACCAGCCGGGCAGTGGGTTTGGCCTTGGCATCAGCCGGGCGTGTTGTTGAGCACTTGAGCACTTGATAGGGTCGATTCCGCATGGTACGGGACCCCTCGACGTGTTGTTGATTTGGCCTTGCCCTTGGCATCAGCCCTGGCAGGCGGGCACGCGGGAAATGCACACACGCGCCAAAGGGGCGCAGCACCGACCTAACCCCTCCCGTCGGAGGTGGGGGGAAGGGAGTCCCGCCGGGTTCCCCTGCACGAGCGCGAGCGGTAACCCCAGGAGGCAAAAGTGGCGCAGAGTGAGGCGGCGCCCCGAGCGAGCACGTGAGCCCCGTGGCTCCAACCGGGCCCTTCCTTTTTTGAGCAGGTGTGCCGCCGCGCGAGCGACGCTCCGAGATCGCCCGAGATAGCGCGGCGCGGCGGTGGGTGGGTGGGTGGGGGGGGGGAGTGGCGTGGCGCCCCGAGATTGCGCGAGATCGCCCGAGATCGCGCGGCGCGGTCCGAGATCGCCCGAGATCGCGCGATTCTGCAGCACCTCGGCACTCGGCGAGGTGGATGGGTTGTGGGTTGGGAGCGAGGGGGCGCAAGTGTTCAGTGCGGTAGATAGATGGTGAGCTCGGGGCGCGTGAGCCGGACTTGTGAGCCGGACGGCTTTCATTTCTCTCTGGACTCTGCGTTCTCGCACATGCGACATGGAGTGCGAGGTTCTCGACTTTCAATCCCAAACTGTCACTCCCCTTTCTGCCGGCCGGGGTGGGGCGCGCGCGGGGGCGGCGGGTGTGCGGGGATGACGGATGTCTGTGGGCCCGAGAGCGACATGCCATGTCCGCCTTGCTGCTTTTGTTTCATAAATCGAAGGCTTGCTCAGAGCGATATGCCATGTCTGCCTTGCTGCTTTTGTTTCATAACATCGAAGGTTGTAAGCATCGAAGGCGCGTTGCTCAAAAGAAAAAAATTCGCGAAGGTCGGAGCTGTTTTGAGGTCTTCCATAATGTTGGCCCTCCTCATCGGCTCGCACGAGACCTACTCGCTGGCCGCGCCAGTCGCACACGCCACGCGTGCCGCGCCGCCTGCGATGGTGTTCCGGCAGGCGCTTTCGGAGAAGCAGACCGCGGCCAAGCAAGGCTGGTGCGTGTGGCGCTTGCGAGGGCCTCTCAGCCCCGAGGAAGGTTTGCACACTCGGAATGCACTGTTTGTTAGGTACTACGGGAAGGTCGTGCCGACGGCGGGCTTCCAAGCAACCATGGGTGACAACGAGATCGGGCGCCGCGCCAAGCTGTCCTCGTCGGACGAGGCCGCCACCCGTGACAGTGCGCCAGTCGTTGCCGCCGCAGAGAAGAGCTGGTACTACGCCGAGCCCTTCAAGGCAAACAGTGCCTACACGCCAGCGTTTGGTGACAACGCGTAGAATTTGTTGGTGCTGGCAAGCGAACCTTGGCGCTATGCCGTCGCTCTGCAAAGGCCAATGTTTGCCGGCCGCTGCCACGTTTCTTATGGGTTAGAGACCAGCCGTTGCTGCGAAGCCATGCCATGTACCCGCTGGGGCACAGCGAACCACCCGCTCACAACTCCACGCGCGCACCCAACCGGGCGGTCGGAAGAGTACGATGATTGTTTCTCAGGGAAGCACACGTCGATGTGCGGTGTAGTGACTCTCTGTGAGAGCACATCCTCTTAGTGTGATGTGACACATGATTGTGAGGTCCGGTCTTGGTGTGCTAAGAAAAATTCAAAGTGCACCGCGAATCCGAAACGGGAACAACGTCCCACATCATATCGGGATGCGTTAAAACCCGCGATTCACGCCGTGCCATCTTTTCTCGCGGTGTATAGGTGCGTGAAGCACGCAGTATCCAGTAAAAGCCGTATGGCGCGCGCTCCCCGCGGCGCGAGATAAACATATGGAGATAAAGCCGTGTGGGGCGCGGGATCCGCGGAACACCGCGGGATACGGCGGGATACCGGGAGTTTTGGGGAGATATGGGAGATGCGGGGAGATGCGGGGAGATGCGGGGAGATGCAGGCAGATGCGGGGAGATGCGGGGAGGAGATATCATGACACATGAGAGAATCGTCCAGACTAAGGCTCAACAGAACACCGCCGGAAGTACCGCCGGGGTGCGGCCGCCACACCTGCACCGTTTTGGTGTTCCAGCGCCCAATAAAGCACTTGCGACTTTGTTGGTCGGGTCATAACTTGTCCGGGTGATGTCGTTGCCGCAGAGCTTGCACATTTTCCCGCGGCGGCGGTACTCGAGCCAGAGCAGTCAGCTTCTGAATTGCAGCGAATCTGGCACTCAGCGACGGTCTTGTGGGCGGCGATGTACAGCTCCAAGCACTTGCTACCCTTGGCGTCGGCGCAGAGGCCGGTGTGAGGCAGATACCAGGGCACCGCCCAGGTGGGGGCAAGGCGTTGGCGAGGACGAGGAGAGCGAGTAACGAGGGCAGAGAGGCGGCAAAGGGAGGCAGCGGCGAGGGCAGCGAGGGTGGCGGCGGGCTCGGCGGCGGTGACGGCGGCGGCGACGGCGGCGGCAGCGAGGGTGGCGGTCTGGCTGTGGTGAGGGCGAGGCGGAGGGCGGCGGAGATGGTGGCGTGGAGGGCGGCGGCGGCGGCGTGGGTGAAGGCGACGGCGGCGGCGAGGGCGGGGGCGGCGAGGGTGGGGGCGGCGAGGGCGGCGGCGGCGAGGGCGGCGGCGGAGACGGCGGTGGCGGAGAGGGCGGCGGCGACGGCGGTGGCGGCGAGGGCGGTGGCGGGAAGGGCGGAGGTATTGGAGCTTTTCCAGGCGAATATGGCGGATACGGCGGCGACGAGGGCGGAGGTGTTGGAGCTCCTTCAGGCGGATACGGCGGCAGCGAAGGCGGATACGGCGGCATCGAGGGTGGTTGCGGGGAGGTTGGCGGGGAGGGTTGGCGTAGGAGAGAGCGGCGGTAGCGAAGGTTGTGGCGAGGCCGGAAGCGGGCTCGGTGATGGGGGCGCGGAGGGCGGCGGAGAGGGCAACGCGGAGGGCGGCGGTGGCGAGGGCGGAGGCGGGCTCGGTGGCGGCGGCGGCGACGGCGGCGGCGGCGAGGGTGGCGGCGGTGACGGCGGCGGGGAGGGCGGCGGGGAGGACGGCGGCGACGAGGGTGGCGGTGAGGGTGGCGGCGGCGACGGCGGTGGCGACCGCGGCGGCGAGGGCGGCGGCGAGGGTGGCGGCGGCAA